GGGGGGGGGGGTCCGTCGAAAAGACCCGGCAAGAGAACAAACAAACTTCAAGCACAGGACAGCATAGCAGAGGTGGGGCGTCCACATGGTCCGACAACGGACAGAGACAGCCCGAGATCAATCAAGTCCGCGCGGGGTTCCATGGAAAAGGCCGAATTATATACCATGCAGCAAATAATACTGCTACCGCTGTGATGCCGTTGCACCAATCAATCACCTTCGTCGGTCTTGTCGGACAAGACGATGACGTCAGCGCCGCCCGAGACTGCCTCCACGGCAGCAGAGGTTAGGGCTTCCACGGCGGCCTGTTTTTGATTTTCGTTTCGGTTCAAAATCAAAGCAACAATCAATGAGTCTACACGACGTATAGGTCGAGAAAAGAAAAGTTGTTGGTGAGTTGTCTTCATCTAAAATAAACGCTCCTGTCTCTGCTCAGTACCTTTCAATATCCGTACCGTAAAAACAAAAGGCGAACGAATAAACGACGCTCAATGGAGCCCCATCTCCACCGCGACGAGTTGAAGCAAGCATTTCGAAAGCGAGAGAGAACACGCACACCAGCATGCCATAATCTCACTAGCAGACCCCCAGGCCCCTTCTCGAGAGGGTAGACGGTTTGAAGGGTGGCGGTCTTGAAGCCGTCAAGGTCTCGGATGGCCGCGAGCTCCGCGGCGTTGAGCACGGGCGAGGAGATCTTGATCTGGCGGGCATCTTCGGCCTGATTGGACAAAACAAATGACAGGGAGTCAGAGGAAGATGCAGAGCGTTGGAAAGGACGACAGAGAAGAGAGGTAGCTGCAGAAAAAACGGACACATTGTTCAGGAATCATAAATCTGAGTATGTGAGACAAGGTTCAGATCGAGGGCCGAAATGGGCGAGAGAAAAGGGGGGGGCAGCAGCCAGAGATAATTTATCTGTAAAAAACATTTTCAGGGATCATGAATCTGGGTGCTTCGAACAACGAAACGTCCGGCGAAAACGAGCAAAGATGGCCCGAGACACGCACACAACATGCCAGGCACAAAATGAAAGTGAAACAGACAAATTCTACCACCGTGTTACGCATACTAGCAGCAACAGCACCACCGGCGTTTGCGTGAGCCCATCCCCTCCATCCAGCACTTCCCTCCTCTTGTCTCTTGTCAACGGCGGCGCGCGCGCTTCGGTCCGTCATCGCTCTGTCTTGCGCAGTTACAGTATACACGCCGATCACACCAAATGAATACGCCAAACAAATCGCGATCACCGCCCTCTCTCTCTCTCTGTCTCTCTCTCTCTGTCTCTCTCTCTCTCTTTCCGCACACCTTGGGCTTCATGACGTTGCCGCGGGCCCCCAGGCTCATCTCCAGCGACATGACCGTGCCTTCCCGTAGCGGGTCGATAGGGGGGTTCGTCACCTGACCAGGGGGGGGGGGGGGGGGGGGAAACCATGTAAACCCAGGCCGGGGAATCCTTAAAACATTAACCCCCCCTCCCTAAAATGGCAGGAAGGAAGAAAAATCCCCGGCCCAGGGAAATTTTCCCAAAGAAAAAACCAAAAAAGGGAGGGGGGAACTCTGGTTTTGTTAATTTTTCCTCCCTTGGCACGGGGGGGGGTTTAAGCACCAAATCGGGGGGAACAAATAAAGGGCCAAATCGGGAA